TCCATAGCAGTGGTAAGGACGACACCGCAGAGGCAGATATTGGGAGGCCCCTATTAGGCCTTGGCCTCCCTGGACCTGCTCCTGTCTGCTCTGGAACAAATCCTGCCTCCTTCCCTCCTTGCCCTTCTGCAGGGTCCAGCCGCCCACACCCACCCATGCCCTCCGAGGGTAAACCTGCAGTGTCACCTGTCTCTGGTTTTTTGATTTGTTTAATTATAGATGAGTTTTCTGCATAATTTATTCCAAAAGCCTGGATTATACTGTACAATTAAATCACATTCTGATCAACAACTTTGCGTATAAAATTAACAACTGGCAACAGTTTAATCTGTGCTGCTGCATCTGCACATAGGCTCTTTCCTTTTTTCCCCTCATCCCTCTCCCCTTCTCTGGGCTTCTCCTACCCCCTCCCCCTGCCCTGCCCCTCCCCTCTGGGGGAGCCTGTGCAGCTCAGAGCTGGAGGCCCCCAGGGTGGGCTCTGTAGTTTGACCAGGGCCTCCCCCGGGTACTAACTGGGGTCTCGGTGGTTCTGCCTGCCAAAGGGGGTCCTCATCCCCAGCTCCTCACCATACATGTGGATGACCTTGCTCCCTTGCCTGATAGTGACAAGGCCTCTTCTTTCACTTACTCTTCTCAGTTCTGAAGCGTGCCCTGAAGAGCAAGGCCTGGCGTCCTGCAGCCCCTCGGTCTTCTTCCCGCTGGGCTGCCCTCAGCCTGCCAGGCCTGGGACGAGTGTACCTCTGCCCTTTGCCCACTCCTGGCCTCTCTTAGCCATTAGGGGAATCCTTTCTACACTGCCTCCCTCCACATCCTTCTCCCCAAGTGCAGGCATTCCTAGGAGATTTTATAAACACCGGGGGCTGTATTGGATAGGCTTCTAGCCCCCAGGAGTGCCTGGTAAGTATGCCAGACATCAAGGCTGCCACGTAGATTTGGCCATTGACACTATTCAGCCAGTCATTTCCCCTATTTACAGACCAGAATGCTGAGATTTGAAGGGAGCTCAATCCAGGGGCACCTGGGTGGCTCAGTTGGTTGGGCAGCCGACTTCGGCTCAGGTCATGATCTCACAGTTTGTGAGTTCGAGCCCCGTGTCGGGGGGCACAGAGCCCGACAGCTCAGAGCCTGGAACCTACTTCAGATTCTATGTCTCCCCCTCTCTCTGCCCCTCCCCTGCTCACGCTCTGTGTCTCTCTGTCTCTCAATAAATAAACGTTAAAAAAAAAAAATTGAACGGAGCTCAATCCTCCCCCTCCCTCCAGGTCACACAGCCAGCCACTGCTGCAGGAGGCTGCCCAGAAGCTGCCTTGTCCTGGAAGAGTGGGGTCAGGGAGCTGATGGAGCCAGGAGGACAGGTCTAGCTTGTTTCTAAGTATGTGGCCCTGCACCCATCCTTGCCAGGGGCCTCGGTTTTTTAGCTTATGGAATGGGGGCCCAGTGCCTGCACCTCCCTGGGTTCAGGCACATGGAGGTTACAGGGATACAAGGCTCTGTCCTCAGCCTCTCCCTCTCCTGCCCATGCCAGTCATCCTGAGGGCTGCAGCCCCTGGCTGCACGTGCCTCCTCCCAGACACTCTCTCTCCTCCCTGTCTTGCTAATTTGGCACTTAGAGACACTTGGAGATAAGCAGTGTCATCTCGATGAAGAGCATGGAAAATCACAGGGATGTAGGGAGCCAGCAGGTGGGCCTACCCTGTTGGGAGGGTGACCCACGGGCAACACTGTCTGACCAGGGAGGCGTTGCAGAGCTAGGCACCTGGACCCAGGCTAAAGGGAGCCCAGACAAGATTTGGTCAGCTTGCCTTTGACCCAGCAGGTCCGTGGATCCTGATATATCCCCCATACTTCCAAATCCCCCATGCCATTCTGCTAGAAAGAGTATGACTGTATCTGGCTAAGGTTAGCCTTGGCTTGGTGGGTGGTTTCTCCAGCCTTCAGACAGGAACTCCATAGGTGCATAGTTGACTCCTGGCCTCATTAGTCCCTTTTGTCACCCTTTGGAGCCAGCACTGGTACCCTAGCCAAACCCTGGAACCCACAGAATCTCTTCTCTGTGACAGTGAAATGATTTATCTATCATGTTCTTTTTATTTTATTTTACTTATTTATTTTTTTTAACATTTATTTATTTTTGAGAGACAGAGCGTGAGTGGGGGAGGAACAGAGCAAGAGGAATACACAGAATCCGAAGCAAGCTCCAGGCTCTGAGCTGTCAGCGCAGAGCCCAATGTGGGACTCGAACTCATGGACCATGAGATCATGACCTGAGCCAAAGTCAGATGCTTAACCGACTGAGCCACCCAGGTGCCCCTATCATGTTCTTTTTAATACTGAGACATACATATTGCCTTCCTAATTGGGTTTGGTTTAGGTGAATAATTAGAGTAACTTATTTTCCCTGGCATTATGTAGCTGGGGCCTGGGGTCTGTCCGTCAGGCCCAGGGTGCCAGACCAAGGGCTAGAGCCACCCCTAGATCCCAGGAGGATGTGTGTGTCCTGATGTGTCATGGGTGGACCAGTCCCTGTGGCCTACAGCAGAGTCTAGAGCTGTTTAGTCTGGGAGTGGAAGTGGGAAGATTGTATGTGCCTGTGAGCATGAGTGTGTGTGCGTGCGCGTGTATGAGTGTGAATGAGAGAGTGGGAGGGAGGAAGGGAAGAAAAGAGTGTGTGTGTCTTGGGAGGAATTCGACTTTATCCTGAGATTTGGCTCTTCTAAATTCTTTTAGTGTTGAAATAGTCTTTTTAGATGAAATGATGGTGATTGTAATAATAATGTGTTGTCTGAACAAAATAAAAACTTGGCATCCGTGTCTGTTCTTCCAATTAATTTTCTTTTACTTATCTGTGAGATCCTAGAATAAGAGACCTATAGATACAGTAGGAAAGAGTCAACAGCCTGGGGCCGAATCAGTGGTGTGCTAGTAAATGTTTACAAGTCACTTTCCGGGGGAAAAACTGTGATTTGTAGCATTTACTGATTTCTGCAGTATAAATATTCCCACTATGGCCAATTTCAAGTTCTCGAAGTGACAGTCCTCAATGCAGAGCTGGGAGGAAGTGCACACTCTTGGCCCTTGGTGACTCTAGCATATGCGTGCATCAACTTCTGTGTTCACTTCTTGGGTGGGTGATCTTGGGCTAGTCACAAAAAGCCCTTGTGTCTCAGTTTCCTCATCTGTAAATTGGGGATGATAACGTTTGCTTCTTTGTGAGGACTGAAGCGAGAGAGCAGGTGGCATGCCGGCACCATTCCATGTGCATAATGGGTGCCCTTGTACATATTAGTCCCAGGAAGGATTATGATTGGCATTCGTCCCCTAGACCAGTGAATGGCTGAGGTCAGGGCCAGGGCAGAGCTAATGGTTCCCTTTGGAGAGCAGCTCCTTGACCTCACCCATTTTTGTACCTAGCTGGACACAGGACTGTGCAGCAACCCATCTCAACATTAGCCCCCCTGGGGCTCCGTCTCAGGAGCACAAAACAGCCACCTGCCCCACTGTCCATCCACAGCCAGGGCCAAACAATCAGCACCTGGTACACAGGCACAGGGGCCAAGCGAGCTCTCCATTCTCTGCTGGGCTTTGCCCTCCTCCTGGCTAGCAGCTGATGCCTGATTGCCCTTTGTAGCCTGGTCTGCAGCCTGGCCTCCTCCTGGGCGTGGGGTTAGTTTTTTCCCCATGGTGGGGAGTGGAGGTGGGCATCAGGCTGTGGCTCAGCCAGCAACAAGCTGAAGCTAATACCTGTTTCTTTTGATGTTGATTTTTTTTTTTCCATCATGGTCCTGACATTCAGCTTGGCAAATTGCAATTAGTGATCCGCCCGCCTCCTGCTCCAAGTTCCCATGCCAACCGACCCGGGCACACACAATGGCACAGGCCCAGCCCCCCAGCCACAGGCCTGAAGATGGATGTGGGGCAGGGGCCTGGGGTGGCGGCTTAAGCTCTTCTGACCCAGGGAGCTAGCAGAGTCCTGGCCCTGAGTGGCACTGGGGAGTGTAAGGGAGGTAGCAGACCCAGGGCCAGACACAACCTCCTGGATCCTATGGCTTCTGGGTCCCTCCTCCAGAGGCTGGGGGGCTGGTATCACCCAACTCGTATCTTGCCCTGTGGACTGTGCTTAACCCGTGGTGTATTTAAATCTCTGTGGTAACCCTCCTATGAGCCCTCCCTGGAACGGCCTTGTTCTGCATCTGGTGGGTTGAGGAAGTTGAGATGCCTTTTCAGATGCATTGGTGCAGAGGCCTGTGTCACAGCAGAGAACACCTTTGGAAGTGTGGAGAACATCTCTCTGGCTGGCTTTTGTCAAGGACCGCTATGACTTTGCTCACCTGATCTCGTACTGCCTGAAGGAAGGGTCACAGGTTAGAACCTGGGCCAAGCCTCTCCCCAGATGCCATTCCTGTTCATGCATGTGGGCTGAGAATACTGAGCTGTGTGGCCATATGTCCATCCTGTCCACTCACAAATATTCCTGTGCAACACCCTGCACCACCTGCTTTCATGTCCTTCTCATACCCTGCGAGGTGGCCCTAAATTATTCCCAATTTCTAGAGGAGGAAACTGAGACACGGATGGGGTAGTATGAGTTCACAGTAACACCAGTGTGAAGGAGACCTGCTCAGGCAGGTGGCTTAGGTGAAAGACTCTGGAGGTGCCAGGCCTCCAGAAAGGGGTGAGACAGTCTGAACTGGACCTGTGGGTGGCCAGTTCATGCAGGGTGTGTATGTATGAGCTTCAGATAGCATCTGTTTCCCCGGGTGCTGGAAAGGTGAGGGCTGTCACCGCCCCAGGTTCTCCATATCCTTCTCAGTTGAGGCCTACAGGGGGCTGGGAGGGGGGCAGGCAGGGATCTGCCCCCAGCTACACAATGACTTGGTGGTGACAGCAGTGACTCCTGTTCCCTCCCCTTCCTCAGGCCCCACCCAGCCTTGGGGACAGGAGACTCTGAGATCCCAGCCTCCGCGTGGCTCACTCATGTCCCCCTCTTCCCTGGTGTCCAGAGTCCCCCTGTTCAGAGCATCCACATCAAGGGCTAGCTCTTCACAGTGAAAAATAGTCTCCCTGCAGGCTTCTTGGAGCTGCTGGACTCCCTCAGTGCATTTAAACTACAATCTGCTCTCCTCCCCGGCTGTCCAACAGTACGTGAGGAGAGCCTGGGCCACCAGGTCTAGTCTTCAAAAGGAATCATAGGCTCACTCTGCTTCCTAGCCTTTGTTTCTCCTCTAGTGAAAATTGAGTTCTGAAGGAGTGGCTACTACTGGTCATGTCCCAGGTCACTCGGTGCTGGGCTGTCCCAGCACTGTGAGGGGGGGCCCTCCTGACACCTTTCTCCTCTATGCACACAGGATGCAGCACTGGGCCCGGCGCCTGGAGCAAGAGATCGATGGTGTGATGCGGATTTTTGGGGGCGTCCAGCAGCTCCGTGAGGTAAGCCCTGGTACCCTTTGCTTTCTGCTCAGAGACCCTTTTCTGAGTGGGAGTGGGAGAAGGACTTCAGAAATAAGGAGTGAGGAAGGTTTGGCATGGTGGGACACTGCTGGGCCCGTGGGGGCAGGTAGGGAAATAACTAGAAAATCAGTGGCTCCTCCAGGTCTTGGCCTGCTCTTCCCAGTACTGAACAGTATCCAGTGAGCTCCGATGTTGGGGTGTTGGGCTTTCGGGTTTTCAGGTGGGTGAGGTCTGTGTTTGACGCAGCGCCTGAGGCAGGAGGGCAGGCCCTGGAGGGTTCAGGATGCAGTTGTGCATGGAGGCTGAGGACTGTCCATGCAATGAGTGGGGTGGCCAGGCCAAACAACAGTGGAGAGCAGTGCTGGCTGCTCAAGGCGCTGTAGCAGGAGATGGGTTGAAAGCCTGTGCTTGGCAAGTTGAGGGATCAGGGCAGGAGGGGTGATTGATTAGGCGCCAGCGACCACATTCATCCTTGGAGATTATGTTAATGTTTGAAATAGTGATGTGAAGAGCAGGCCATCCGTCACCCCCAGAAGGCTGCAAAATGTGTCGCTGTCAGGTTCCTGAGCCGTCGCTCTTTGTGTGGAGATGCAGAAGCTCTGAGAGCTGAGCTCTTGGAGTGCTTGGGGGGACTCCCAGGGACCTGTGGGACTTTGGGAGCTCGTTGCTAGAGGCTTGGGCCAGGACGCCTGACCAGAACCGAGCAGGGGATCAACAGGGTTCTTCTGCCGATGGTTGTCCCGGGAACAGCAGAGTAAACAGAGTTACTGTAGGTGGTTTAGCCAAGAGTCCAGGTCTTGACTCAGTGATTAGATATGCCTCTGTTTGTGTCATCCCTCTTGGTCAGGACTGGGATCAGCAGGTGTCACCTCTATGGGGAAGCTACCATGGGGTTTTGTCCTTGGTCCTTTCCCCCTGCTTGGCTTATAGCAGGCACTCAGGAAATAGGGGCGGCAGTGAGTATGTTGACACTGGCTGTGGATGTAGGACCTCTGGCACAAATGGGCCAATCAGGGGTGGCTAACAAGGTGGTAGCATGACAAGGAGAGAGAGTCCAGGTCTGAAGATCTCAGCCCCCAATTTGCTGGGTGTCCTCCCCGTAGTGGCCCAACCTCTCTGAACCTCCCAGCCCTGATTGCTGGGATTGAATTGCAGTAACCCCCATCCCACTCTTCCTGTGAACTCTCAGTGACTCAGCCGTACTTGGAGGCCAGCAGAGCTTTCTAGAGAAGGCACTGTAGGAAAAGCTGTTCCAGAACAGAAGTGAATTTACGCTCAGGCATAGCACCCGGCACTAACTAGGTTCTAAGTGGGCACTGCCAAGTGTAGCCTTGTAGGTTAATGAAGAAATGATAGTTCCCTAGAATGTGTGCAAAGTGCCTTTCCAAGTTTTGTATTGTAACATAAGATGTACCCCACATAAGGAGTTAACTATGCACCTCCGGTCAAGAACCTTCCACGCTTCGAATTCTCAGTGTGAGGACATTATTTATTTTATAGTCATAGACAACTCAGACCCTGATAGTTTGCCAGTGAGAAAATAATGCACACGTTTCATGCATGCAATTTGTTTCTGTCTAAACCATTGAGCTCCCTGGCTGGTGAGAACCAGAGATAGAAGCCTAGCTCAGCACCCTACTGTGTGCTCCTGGGAAAGTCCTGGACCCTCTCTGATTCTCATTCTTGGTCCATGGCATAGCTGGGAAGTCTGGCTAGAGGACAAGGTGGTGGGAATAGCAGTGGATAGGTTGACACAGATACACCCCCTTTTCTAGAAATATGAATTCCCCTTACTGATCATTTTCATTCCTAGGATGTGTTGATCATTTCCTTTCTGATGGGAATTGAGTGATTCCAGACACTTTCGTCAACGAGCACATCTTGCCCCACCCCCACCTGGCCAGCCATAACCAAAGTCAGGCAGCCAGCTGTGGCAGACCTGAGACTTGGGATGGGACTCCTGACTCCTGTTCCAGGGTGCTTCTCCCCCTCTGGTTGCACCTCTTGGAAGGGTGGGCAGGATGAACCTGGGGAAGTGAGGAGCTGGGCTAGAGCAGGGGCCATGCTTGGTGTAGCTGTGGCCTGCCTGGCCGCAGGCAGAGGAGTGCTGACCTGGTATTCCTGGCTGGCTCCTCCTGGCATCCCTCTCCCTACCGACGGGTGCCAGCTCTCCAGCGGCTCTCTGTCCTGCTCCAGTTTTTTCTCACCGCTACCTCAGCCTCTTACTTCCTGCTGACAGCTCTGGGCCTGCTTCTTGGCACTGGACACTGGCGAGGTGGGCGGCAGGGAAGCAGGTGAAGAATTCTAGAGGAAAAGGACAATCCCACGGGAGCAGGAGGCAGCCAGCCTCCCCACCCCCTACAGCCCATCCCAAATCTGACTGAGTCACCATGGCTCTCCTTCAAATGCACGTGAGAGGGCCCGTGTACCCAGCCTATGCCCAGCTCTGATGGGTCAGGAGGATGCTTGCAGCAGAGCCTGACCCAACTGCAGATACTCCTGGGGATCCTGGCACCAGCTCTGCCAAGCTGACAGCCTCATTCCCCAGTGGCCTCCCCAGGTCTCCCTGAGCTGATTCCGTGCTACCCCCAAACACCCTATAGCCAGGGTGTCCTGGCATCTGGGCCCCCTTGGCCTTCTGCTGCATGGCTGCCCCACTCCCAGAAGCTGGGCGCTGCAAGAGCTGGCAGCTGCAAGAGTCCAGAAACTGCAGACAGTGGCATTTGGGAGCATTTTCCTTGACTTGGCACTTTCTTCCTCCTGACCTCATCACAACATCGTGGGGGCATGGCTAGGTGCAGACTGGGGCCCACTTACAGGTTAGAAGCCATGGCACACCTAGGTAGGATGTGGGGGCTCTGTGAAGACCGCATCATGTTTCCTCGTCTAAGCCCAGGTCCAGCACACAGTGGGAGCTCCTGCTGTGGCCTGGTTCTCACATGTCATTCCCACCCCCATGATTAGCCAGACACTCCTAAGCCATGCCCGCCCTGGGTACCCCAACCCCACCTCCCCCCAAGCCCTGGCCTACTCCTGATGTGAACAGGCCACGAAAGTGTGGACTGTATACTCTGCCCCCTCCAGAACCCCTGGAGGCTGATGATGGTCTCCCAAGCTCCTACTCTGCCCTCCCCCATCACCACCATATTGTCCCCATCCTCTGGGGCGAGGTGGGGGGGGGGGTGCAGGGAAGAGCAGAGAGCATATGCTTGGGCTCTGAACTCATTTACATAATGAGGCTGATCAGGATGAATAATTCATCAGGTGCCTGGGGGTGCATGGGGGGAGGATGTGGAGATGGCTGGTCTCCCCACTTTGAAGACCAGGTCACTCTGATGGGTATAGCCAGGGACCTACTGACTTTTGACTGGGTGTCCAGGTAGAAGGGGAACAACTCTGGGGACCTTGTGGGAAAGCAAAGCTGGAGAGATTGTAGTCAGACATGAGGAAGCATCAGTGGCTCATCAGGTGTGTGTCATCCTGAGATGGGTTTCTGACCTGGGTGAGACACCTTCTTTGCAGAGTTTCTAAAGAAGGAAGTAAGAAGATCCTCTCTCTGGGGTGAGGGAGGGCTTCCTGACCAGAGCTGGGCTGGGAACTGAGACCTGGGATGATCATGCCTGGGGTCCACAGGCCATCCTCTGAGAAGTGTCAAGTCAAGTCTAGACCCATCGGGGCCTTTCTCATTCCACATCAACCCCTCCTGCCTCGCCTCCTGATTGGGGCAGAAATGGCTTAGAGCCCTGTCAACATCCCTGGCTGCTGCAGTTCCATGATGGCCTCAGCCTAGCTGCATGCTGCTAATTACTCCTGTAGTCCTTTCATATAAATGGGGAAATCAAGGTCCTGAGTGACAGTCTTCTCTAGCCAGTCCCATTCTGGAGCCCTGACAGGCCAATCTTAAGTAGTAGTGGGGATGGGGAGAAGCACCAAGCTAGAAGTACAGGCCTGGGGCCTGCCTGGAGGAGCTACCCTGAGGCAGCCCCTCCCCTAAGCCATGGAGCTACATCCACAGAAAATAGGACCCTGGGACTCAGATCCCTAACCAAATCTCCTGCTCCCCTCCCCACTGCTGTGCTTCTCTGGACTGTCATGGTGATTCAGACCAATGGCATCCATGTGTCCTCACTTCTCTGGGTAGCCAGGAATGGCATTTTTGAACCAGTGACGGTGCCACAGTCCCAGCCCATCTTGTCTGCCCCTGGCCATCCCTGTACCCCGTCTGCTCACTGCTCCCTGGGAATGTGTAATTAATATTTGCGCAGTGCCACATCTGGAGCTGGCTCCTGGCAAGGACCAAAGTCTGGCCACATCAAGAGTGCCTTTCCTGAGGGGCTCAGCAAAGTGGAAACAGGGCCCCTTCTTAGGTGCCTTTGAGACACGCCTCCTGCTGTTTCTCCAACTCTCCCCACTGACTGGTACCACCAATTCCTGAAACTCATGCATACTCACATACTGGTTTGGGGGCGCTGGCCAAGGCTGTTGTTGGCCTCCACTGGGGAGGGTCCTCTCTGGGCTTCTGGGCATTCAGGTGGGGTTAGCACTGTCCAAAAGTGCCAGGGAAGCTCAGAGCCCCAGAGGGAGCTGAGGCAGAAGAGAAAGAAGGAAGCTGGGGTAGGGGGAGGTGTCAGGGAACAGAACAGCCCCTGGAGGGTCAGGAAAGGGGAACTCAAGTGATTGTGACCCCCAGACCCCGTAGTTGGTCTTTCTGTCAGAGCACCGTGGTTCACATGTGCCCCGAGAGTCAGGCCTGCAGCTCCTTGGCCAGGCGGACCCCTACCCCCAACCCCTTCCCTCATCTTGGGGACCAGCACAGGTCAGAGTCAAGTGAGGGGTGGTGAGAGAGCCCCACCCAGGCTCATCATAACCTCTCCACAAGGCTTCCAGAAGCCTCAGTCCTAGGGGCTCTGCTCTTGCTCCTCACAAAGCCGACACCCGTCCTCCAGCCACCTCCTAGTGAATCCCAATGGAGCCCTCCT